TTTACTAGAAAATACAAAACTGAACAGCAAATTTAACAGAATAAATCGTTTTTATGCCATATTCGAAGATATGATGATAAAATTACAAAATTTTACCACATTTACTAGATTTTATCATTTATTATAAACCATACTTTATTGTTAATTTTATCAAAATCATAACCAAAGCCCTTCAGTAAAAAATACTGATTTTTTTTGGTGTTCCCAAAGAGCCTATGTACAGTAAATTTAGTCATATTCTGGGAGTTTTGATCATAATTTTCTCTCAGTGCATAATGAGAGTCAAATTTTTTACTTACTCAAACATCAGAAATTCCCTTCTTTTTCCTTTCCTTCTTGAACCTCTGGTGTATATTTAGCTTATTAGAATTTAATTTGTATAAGAGTTATTTTAATTAGAGAATGAAGAAAAAATGTTTACTCTAAAAATCGAACTCTTTATTGTCTTAAATATCTTAAAATACTTTCTATTTCCTTTTTTATAGAGAAATAAGTGTTATCTATGAAATACAGTTTTGTTGTAATGTTAATGTTATCTATGAGTTCAGTTTTTATGTAAATTGCTCTGCTGGAATAGGGTAGGAAAAATTATAATAATAATAATAAACAAGTCTTTTACTTGATAAAAATGCTATTTTTTCTTCCTCTTTTTTTTCAAAATTCTGATATACTACTGTAAAAAAGTAAATGAATAGTAAATGATAAGTGAATGAAAAGTAATGAAAAATATTTGAATTAATTAGTCAATATTTATTTCAGATAATTCAAAATATTCTTTTCCGAACTTCATTGCACTTGTTTTTTTCATTTATCAAAACATGTCTTATTTATGCCTTTTCACAGTTCATGGCGAATTTTCTTTTACTAAAGCAATGCACTTAAAACGGTGGACTAACAGACGCAATTTTAACAGTGGGATTAATAAAAAGTTCCTCGTTGTTATGTTAGGAGAGTACCATGCTTGTGGGACGGTATTTGTTGAATATGAAGTTAAAAACTGACTGCAATGGGGGAAGACGTGTTACCATAGTGAAAAAAAGTTATGAGCTTCCTCTCCTTGTTTCTGGTCTTTAATTTTTCTTCGTGTGCATTTTATTCGCTGACATTCAGGCTTCACCAATTAGCTTCACGAAAAGTCCTCAAAACACTCAACTAACAATCTTTGTTAGCTGTCCGGTAAGTTGGTAAGTATTCATAATGCGCAAAACTGCGGTAATCAACAAAAACGATCAACATTGCACTAATTTTTGAACGATTTGGACGTAATTTTTTGGTTTTGCTTCACCTTCCAAGTACCAGTCGTTTGAGTGTTGAGCTGTTTCTGTATCAAAAGAACAGATGCAAGTTTCATCGCCCATAATAATGTGTTTATTCGGTGAAGAGGAATTTCTTTGTGGTAGTTTCTCTCTAATCATTTGAGAACTAAATGTTTCTTGGGACAAATTCGAAGCTTTTGGAAAAATTTGTGACGAGACGCATTAAACGTTATTGAATGTTCTTTTAAAGGTACCTGGTAGGAACTAAATCACAATGGAATTCGTTCAATAAAGACTCTTATTGCCAAACGACAATTTGCCAAGTATCAGTTTCCGGACTTGATCGATATGTTGATCATTAATCGAAGTGGATGGTCTACGCTATCGATCAATAGCATATCAACTATTATTGATAAATAGTCACTTTTAAATCTTTTAAAAAAATTTGAGATTTTTGTATCAAAAATTTTATTGTGAAAAAAAAATTATGACATTTACATTCATTTTGAAAAATCGTCGGAATAAAAACTTGCCTCACATTAAAAACTGGTTTGCTTTTAGAAATAAAATCCAATACTCGTCTGACAATTTTCCAATGTATCTACAAATTGTATAAATGTCTTATAAAGGTTTGGTGACGATATTTTTCATCAATGCATTTTAATTGAAGCAACATGCATACTCTTTGAACAAGTAGCATATTTAATAAATCAGAGATTAATTTTTATAAGAGGTTTTCTACTTAGATGATTTAGAAGAAATTGCTTACACTAAAATGCAATCTCTTTATCGGCTAAAATACCATAAATTCTTTTAAAGGTGAATGTAATGGATCGAATATATTTGGATTTAATTCTGATGTAAGGGGAACTTGTTTTCGAAAAAACCATTTCGCAATCAGCTTTTAATTTTTACATAAATTGTTCAATTTTTGATTAAAAAATCATGTAGGGTATCGATATTAAAAAAAAGAACAAACATTTAAATTGCTCAAGATTTAGCTTTCTTTCGTGATTACCCAATACCGCCTATAAAAGAGAAAGCCTACGTACAGGTCACTTTCGTTGTCCATAGGAACGAACAAAAACTGTGGAGTGGGGGGTTTTAAAAAGGAGGTCATAAAGTTCGGACTACTAGGGAATGGATTTGCTTATGGTAACCCATACAAAGGCTTTCTCAATTCTGGGAAGCGTTAGACTACAACGGGTTATATTAGTTACATGTATATAACGGGCAGTGTTTCACTTTTAAAAATTAAAGAGATGCAGAGAGGTAGATTATAGCTAGAATTAAAAAGATATTACAACTGGTATCCTCTTTTTTACGAGACGTTGAATTGCTAAAGAGTTTAAATTTTACCGAATATATTCGATTTTTGATTACAGAATCATGGCACAATCAGCGTTTTAATATGATTCATTTTCTAACTCCTATCATTTGAAATCAGAAGCATGTCTAAGCTACTTAGGATGGAAAGTGTATTCTCCTGCGACTTTCCTCCTCTTAGACTTATTTTTAAAGAATATTCTTTTCATTTGGCCCGGAGGTAGAGACTCTTTAAAGCTACAAGAACTTAAGATCTTTGTAAAGACTTTCAAGTTTTTGAAAGACAAAGATTTTGCCTCAAGAAATTCACAATTTTAGATTGAAAAGCTTTTATGCTTTCTTTTAAGACTTACTTGTTTATTGTTAAGCAATGTAGAAAATAAATGCATATCTCGAAATGTTTTTCAATAAGAAAACAATAGTTTCTGAAATCTAAAATACTAAATAACAGAAGTTTTATTGATTCAATTGAAATGGGAAATATTTTTGTCATGCAACGTCATATTCATGTTTTAAACTATGTTTTCATTTATTTGTATGTTGTAATAATTAAATACTATTTTTTCCCTACAATTCCCCCCTTCTTTTCCAGACACAAATGCATGCGTTTTAAAGAAAAATTTTTTTTGAATAATAACTGGTTGTAAAATTTTTTATCAGTTGTAAAATTTTTATTTAAGGAATAATATTTAATAATTTGTTAAAATGTTTGTAATATAGTACAATCATAGGTCGTTTAATAATTTGGAAACAATGCTTTCTCTTCAAAATTTATATTTTTATTTTTCTCACTTATTGATGGAAGGTTATGTTGGTTACGCTTTTTCTTTTGTAATTTTATTGCTTATTTTAAAAAGTATTTAGCAAATACGCAAGATTAGTCTTGATTACATAAGTTACAAAAAGTAGCATTGGTATTTATTAATTGCATTTAAATAAGTAACAGTGCAAAACGCTAGAAACAGTGTTAGTTTTTTTAATCAAAATATCTACGCATGAAGAAAAAATGATTGTCACCACAAATTTTGTGATTTTTTACATATCAAATCATTAATTATATTAATAAGAATCTCAAAAATTATGAGAAAAACGAGTTGTATTTTGCTGTTCTCAAAATTAAGTTTATAAAAGTTAAAAAGATGTTAAACTGCAAATTAAGAATTTATTCCTTATTAAAAATGTGTGTTAACAACAATTTTATTATCCTTTTTATTTTGTTTTTTGAACACAAAATAAAGTCACTTTAAAATAAAGTATGCAAATAAAGTATACAAAATGTCTAGTTAAAATTCTAAAATAACATGGGAATTTACTGGCCAGTGGTGTTGGGCATTTACTTGTTAAATTCCACGGGAATACATGGGCATTTACTTTTTAAACTATTGTTAAACATTCTATATAGTTAATATAGTTAGTTTGAAATTATTTAACGATTTTTGTTGTTTATTTAAATAAATATTTACAAAAAATTAATATGTGGAAATTGTTACATGTGTAACTGATCAAAATTAGTAAGGATAAATTTAATAGCTTTATCTTTAATCTTATTCAAGATTTAAAATGTATTTAGGTTTTACTTTTTGATATAAATACAAATAAAAATTAATGGTTTGAAAATAAAAATAAAAATGAATTGTAATCATTGTAAAATTATAAAAAATGATATAACATATATATTTTAAAAAATTTAATTTTTATAGTTGTTAGAAAGCAAATTACTATATTTTGCAATAGTTTCCAAATTGATAAAGCTTAGTTTTGTATTTTAACTTATATTCATAGAATTTGGATTTAAAATTAAAATAAATTTTATCTTAAAGTATTCATTTTAGAATATTATGTTCTTATACTTCGAAATTGAAATGAAAATTAATTATTTCAATTGAAGCAGTTGAAGCTGAAGAAAAATGTTACAGTTTCATATTTAATTATTTTAATACGTTTTTGATTACAAATGAATATTTTGCAGTTGCTTTTGAGCTTAAGATATCCTATTTTTAAAGTTTGATATGAATGAATTTCATTTCATATATTTTTAAAATATCATTCCCTTAGACTCATTCCCTTAAAATATCATTCCCCTAGAATTACCATAAGATAAATTGTTTAATAAAAGGATTTAGAATTGAAAACTCTCAAATATAAATTATTAGTTTTGTTTATATTTTGGAAACTATATCGGAAAAAATATTTATTTCTTGTTATTGTGTCTAAGTTTACTGCGCAGTTATATCCCCCATAATTTCATAATCAACGATGCTTTTGAAAAATATTTAAAAAAGATAACTCTTTTTTATTTATTTATCGATAGTTTGAATTGCAAATTGATTCCATATTGCGTTATTTTAATCCAAATAAAATATCATAATCTTTAACAGGTGATAAATTTCTGACAGATAATGGAGGAAACCAAATATATAAGGAGCATGATATAACGCAAGAATTAAATGATCTGAAAACTAAAACTTTATTCATCATGAAATTAGTTCTGCTCATTTCGTGTGTGTTAGCATCGGTATTAGCTGAGGAAGCTCCTGAATATATCCAACTAAGTCCTGAGGAAACTGAAAGTAATTTGCTGTTAATTTATATTAATGTTGCACTTTTCTGAATTGATTTCGTACTGTTGCTAAATATCATAATTAAGACCTATTTTAATAACAAAAATGCAAAAAAAATATATTGTAATTCTTAAAATTCAGATGGGATACATAATATCTTAATATATAGGGTTGATAAAACATCGGATATGAAATAAAAATTAATTAAAAAGTTGAATTGCAATCTAATGTTTAAAGTGCAAAAATTTCTTATGATTTTAATGGATCGAGTACATAGCATAATTGAAATATGGAGAATCTGAAATGCAAATAAATTTTTCAAATAAATATTACATTGTCATAAAATGCATCGAATATAAATCGGATAATAGGATTAATAGGGTATTTAGGATAATGATATCCTAAATGAAAAATAAATGTTGATTTAAAATAATTTCTTGTATTACATTAATTTAAAAGTAAATAACATAGATATAGTATTAGCTGTATAGGATATCTAAGATAATAATTGGAATATATATTATCTTAATGGATTGGATATTTAGGGAAATAATGAGAACAAATAGGATTTTAAATATAAATTAATTACAAAAAAAAAGAATGCAAAGAACGCAAATTATTTGGTTTTGAAGTATTATTTTTTTAAGAACTGCGTTAAAGGTTAAATTGATGTGCTGTTGAAAGCAATTTGAAGCTATTATTACAAATAATAAGTATAGTGTATATGGCTTAAAATTTAGCTTATAACGTCAATACATTTCATGAAGAATCACAGTAAGCTTTTCAGCGATGTTATAGTTTCATATCAATACTTTATTTGCAACTACATTCGTCATCTTTATATAATTGTCTTTATCTAACTTAATTTTATAAATAAAAATAATAATATTGAAATAATTGTTCCAGGTAATGTTTTTTCTTTAAAAAAAAGAGAGTCTGGATAAAAAATCTTGAGTTTTAACCCAGAAATTGCCGAGATTTAAAAAAATAAATATTTTGACATTCAGACTAGGAATGAGAGTAAAATTTATTTCAACAAATTATGAGAGAATTGGATATCTCAAACCATATTGAAATGGATATGCATACCTTTTTAAGGAACATACTTAATTGATGAAACGATATTTTGATGAATCTTTTTCTCAGAAAATCATAAATCGTTTTTTAATATCTCTGATTTGCTTTTGGCATTACAACATGGAAATTGTTGGCTGTTCCAAAATATGCTTGCAAATCCTTCAATAATAATGAACCATAATATCGATACTAATAATGATAGTAATAGAAAAATAAAGTATTTATAACTAGTATTGAGAAGTATCAAAAGAATAGTACCGCCAACACTATCCAATACTAAATATCAATACTACTTAGTACTATATTGCATCATTAAAGGATTTCGATTATGGTATGAAATAAACCAATACTTTAAACAATGCGCATTTCAATATCTCGATATACCACAATGCTGTTAAAAGTCAAAGCACATAGATAATAAAAAAGATTTAATATTTATTATTTTGTTTTGTAAATTTTCAAATATTTTAAGTAAGGAGTTTATTTTTTAAATTTTAAGTTGCCCGAAGAGCTCTTCAAAATCCTGATTTGTATGATGGGGACATGGCTGGAATTAACCCTAAGGTAGGTAACTTCTAATTTTTTTCTTGCAAGATTTGCAATTTTCTTTATTGTAAATCATATGATATTTGTAAAATGATTTTATTGTTACAGAGGGTACAAAAGTAGTAGGTGAAGCACACTTTGACTACTTCTAAAGACCTCGTTTTTATGCCTCTTGATTAATTTATAATGTAAAGTATTGTAAAAGTATAGTTATTTTATCATTATAAATCAAAAAATATGCTTGTATGAAACATATTTTTGAAATATTACGCAAAATACTTAAAAATATACATAAAATACTTAAAAATATACATAAAACATCGATTAAATGTAAAAAAATATGAAAAGTGTAGTACAATATAAGACTTTATGAGAGATTGTGTACTTAATCATCTCTAGAGTTCGTAAGCCTGTTTCAGATTTAAGATATATGTGCCTTTGACCCTCACCTTATGCGGCTAAAATGACTTTAGCGCAACAGAAAACAGGTTAGAACGTCATATGGATTAAAAAGAAAGCTACAGTGTTCTTTTTGGGTATTTTTTACTTCAAGAAATGAATTATTTTAGAATAACGTTAACCTAAAAAAATCCCCATTTTTTACAACTTAATATAATATAATAATAGTTTAAAATAGTAATTATTATTAGTAGCAATAATTTATAATATTAATTATTATTATTAGTAATAATTTACAATATTAATAATTTTTAGAAGCAATAATTTATAATAATAATTATTATTAGCATTAATAATTTATAATATTAATAATTTTTAGTAGTAATAATTTATAATATTAATTATTATTAGTAGTAATAATTAATAATATTAATTGTTATTAATAATAATAATTTATAATAATTTGATTACGTTGTAATGTAAGCTGAATAAATTGAAGAAATTTTCAAACCAAAAAGGGACAAATTGTGGTTTTGGGAAACCAGTTTTAAAAAAAAGGCGGGGACTTATTCTATCCACAAGCATGATGCACGCGGGATCGTATTCATTTAGTCTAATATTCCTTAAAAAATCCAAAAAAAAAATACTTTAAGGAAGGATAAATATGCTTAAAGCACTTATTTTATTCTATTTTTTGTTAAAATAGCGTTGCTTTGATCTTTACACGTGGATGTGTATTAAAATATATCAACACCTTCCTAAAAGTTTTTCACAAAGCCAAATATAATTCAAAAAACCAGCAAAGATATTGGGAAGTCTTGAGGATGAGGTTCCACAATTTCGTTCCCAACGGCGTGATTAGGGCATTGTGGTCAGCACTGCACACAGACCACCTTTACTTCTCAGCCAAGCTGGCACCCAATGAACTGAAACTGGGTGGGGTGCAAACAGCTGCTGAGGATCGAACCCGAACGCTTCACAATGAAAGCACAGTAAATTAACCACTGAGCCATCGTGGCTCCAAATAATCTAGAGAGAGATGGCATTTATGAGGGGCGTTACCAAGCAATAATCCTATTAAATTTGTATTGTGTAATTTTTTCTTTAACATATTAAAAACTGTTAAACTGTATTTAACTGTCGTTTTTGGTATTGCATTGGCTCACTTAATAGTATAAATGTCAAAATTGGCATTTTTAGTTACAAAAAGAAAAAAAAAAGTTTTTTTTAAGGTATTTATAAAATTTTTTGCAATATCTCATGTTAATTCTTATCACTAAATAAGTCCATAAATCTATTTACAGACATTTCAGAAAATTAGAATTAAACTTATTTGTCACCATAACTTAAAGTAAATGCTCCCGGTATTTGAGAATCACTCGGATATCTCTGGAATCAAGCTCATACTTCTAGAAAAAAAAAATTTCGCAAGTGTAAAGTGCCAATTAAGAAAATAAAAAAAAATATTTCAAAAATGTAGTAGTAATGTTCCTTTTAATTTTTTTCATCTATTTCATAGTTTTGTTACGTTTGAAATTAGATATAACTGCAATATATTTTATACATTGCATGAATGTGAAAAAAAAGTGTTCAATAATTGTCACCTTTAATATATATTTAAGCATATTTGTAGTCACAAAAGTACAGACATGAAGGGTCTTAAGCTTATGTTTAAGTTTATAAATGCGTTATCGAAATCCGACAGTGATGAAGAAGGAGGAATGGAAAACAAAAATTCAAATCCTGATGAAAATTACCTAAAAACTGGAATTAAGAAAAGAATTCAAAATATTAATGCAAATAAATAATAAAAATAAAATTAATAAAAATGAAAATAACATCCAAATGGCAAAATTCGCTAAGCAGCAGAGAAACCATATGGAATAAAACACATGAGACGAAGAAAAATTAGTAAAAATTGAAAAAATGAAAAAATATGACAATCAAGGCTGACGAACCAGCCCTGAATTGTCACAAAAACGCAAAACTCTTTCTATCGAGAAAGTTACGACAAAAGTCAAAAATGCTTTCCCTGTACCCCAAAAGTTTTGAGCCGGTCCAGAAAAAGAATACAAAAATACAAGAATAAAATTGTGAAATATGTAATACAATGCGGTATAATTTTACTTTGCATAGTTTTTAAAAAATTAACCTGAAAGGTAAAAAATTATTAAACATAATTAATTAAAAACCTAGACCAAGAACAAAACCTTTAAGACGCAAAAGAACACTATTAAAAAGCACAAAAAATGCATTAAAAAAACAAAACAAAAAAATTAGTAAAAATTAAGAATATTTCAAAACAGAAAAAGCTCGAAAATTGTAGCTGAAACCAGATTTGAAAATTACAATTAAGAAGAGAATTCAAAACATTAATTCAAACAATTAATAATAATGAAATTAATAAAATAAAAATAACAACCAAATGGAAAAATGCGCTAAGCAGCAGAAAAACCAAGAAGAATAAAACACACGAGACGAAGAAAAATTAGTAAAAATTGAAAAAATGAAAAGATATGACAATGCTATGTACATGTTTGTTTGTACATGTTTGAAACGCTATGTGAATGCTATGTACATGTTTGTTTTCGAAACTTGTATTCTTTAGGATCCCGGGGAGAGAAGTGCTATTGTAGGCAACAATTTCAGATGGCCAGGAGGAGTCGTTCCATACGTCATTGACCGATCTCTTGGTAATTTTACTTTATTCTCAAACAATTATTGCTGGGTTATTCATAATTCAATCTTTAATTTCATTAATCTATATAAAAAGGCAAATATAGAAAACAAACCTGGCAATATATATGGAAATATATCAAGTTTTGTTTACAACCTTTACAAGCATGATGTGCAAACAATCCATCACACAGCATATGCTAATGATAAAGTCCAATTTTTGCCACATTATTTAGTGACATCATCTTAAATTTTTTATTATGAAAAACTTGGTATATTTCTGCTTTTGGTGCAAGGTTGATTTTTTCTGCCGTCGCCTTAGTTTTGTTTTTACGTATGCTTACTTGTACCCCGCAGCTCCCATCGGGATACAAGCAAGCATAAGTCCGGAGTGCATAAGGGCAAGCTTAAGACCAGAGTTATTGATAACCCTGTGCTTTCTTTCTTTGTACATCTTACTCTGCAAGCTCAACTTTACTTCTGCTAAACCCCTTGCATTCGAGAAAACTTCAAAGATAAACCTCAAATTCTAAAACCATTATATTTATTTTCACTTAATTTATTTAAAAGAAAGACAACGTATTTTATTATGGCTCTAAAGAAAAAAAAACTACTTTTTCTTCAGATTTTAACAGATGAATAAATCACCTTATATTTTTATATAACGTGAGCGTCAAACCTATTTATATTTTTTCAAAGAAATTTTGTCGTAAAGAAATTTAATTTGATATATCTCATGATATATATCTTTGTTTCTATATGTTATTCTAGTTCTATGTAATCGTTGCATAATATGTATAAAATATGTAATACCTATCAAATATATTTATTTATTTTTCGTGAAGTTCAATTTCGAAACTAGGGAGCTATCGCTTCCAACTCATTATCTCATTATCTCAAGCTGCTTTCGTAGTTCGGATCGCTTTGTGACCAATGCTCGCTTCGCTCAAAATTGACAGACATTTACTGACATAATAAATAAAGCTGAAATGTATCTATTTTATTATTCATTGTCCTTGCTGAAGGCTTTACGTTTTAAGATTAAACATAACAATTTTGTAGAAGTTCAATTCATAATAAAAAGGATTAACTGCAATCATATCATTTGGAATGAGACAATTTCATTTGCTTTAGACAATCTCATGATAGCCCTAATCAAACTATTTTCTCCGGTGTTTATCACTTTCTGTCGAGTGTAAAGAACTTATTACCATATTACATTAGTACATATATTAGTACAATTCGTACCTATAAAAACATCACAAGCAATTATAATACTAGTTCACATAATTACAAAAACTGATCAATCATTATTGGTTTCAATAACATATGGAGCGATTTGTTTACGGTTTCCTTTAATAAAACGGTACCTTTTCTTTATTGATATTTCTGCTTTAGTACATAACTGATTTTTCTTTATTTCATGTTTTTAAATTATTTAGTTCCATGAAAACGTTTTAAAAACATAACTATGAACAAAAAAGCATGTAATTTCAGGTAACTTTAGAAATAACAATTAAGTGACGCACTTGCCATTCACGTTGATATAAATAACTAAAGAATAAAGAACGTACAATAAAATTTTAAAGAGAATATATAGTTTTATTTATAAAAATGGCTAATGCTGAACAAATTCGAAAAAAATTTCATTTTTCAAGCATCCTCTCAAACATATTAATAGAAATTTAATCATAGTGATTCCGTGATTTTACGGTAATTATTACAGCAAAAATTACGTTATATCAGTGTTTTTGCTCCGTAACATACTCCGATAAAAATGGATTTTACGGTAAAAAGCAAATATGATCCGGAATTTTTTACAGTGTAGTTAAAGAATATTTCACGAATATTACTTATTTCGATTTATTTCTCCAGTATAACCACATTAATATAACCACATTACTTTATAGTATTAATATTTTGCTCCACTCTATTTAAATGCTTAAAAAAACGCATTGTTAATTTATAGCAAAGAAAATGTAAATACATTTATTAACAATTTGAAATTTTAAATACAATAATTTAAATAATATTTGCTCCCGTATTTCTTGCTCTAAACGTTTTAAACTCTAAAAATTCTAAGCATTCAGTAAAAAGTTTTTTTTAAAAGAAATTAAATGTAATATTTGGAATTGCTTTTTTTCTCTCAGGAAATGCCGCAAACTTGATCCAACAAGGAATTGCTGACTATCACAGAAATACCTGTCTTAAATTCAAGCAAAGAACAAATGAGAACAACTTCATCAGAATATTTGCTGGACAAGGGTAAAGCTTCTAATTCTATTTTAAAAAAATTTCTTGGAAATTAAGGGGAAGTGTATATCGATTATTGAAGTAGTAAAAATATGAATGCATTTAATGGAAAAATTGCAATATCATTAAAAATAAAATCTAATTTCTAACTTAAAAAAGTACTGCATCTGGAAACTAAAAACTGTCTCACCTATTCAGTTAATATCTGAATACAATCCAAGTGTAGAAACCTCTGTGCCACACATATATGCTAAAGAACGTGATAAGAGAGCAAACAATGAAAAACATAGTATTCCGGATCAATGATGAATAACGTTCAGCAGTGACAGAGATTAGAATTCAAAAGAGAAACACACAAATGTATGAGAAAATTGCAAAAACGTTTTTTAACGATAAGCTTAATAACTTGTTTAAAATTTCTTCCTGTGCATCTATGTTTCTCATTTACTTGTGGGTTCGACATTAAAGAAGTTTTACATTACAGAAGCGAAAATATTACATAATTTTGTTTATTATGCACTATTTTTGCCCTTTTCAATCTAGCTCTTTTCAACTACTTTAAGAAAAAAAATTCGGATAAAAATTACGGTATTGGTAATAACATTTCGAGTAATAAAACAACAACAACATAATTCTCGTTTATCAAACCAAAATGTATGCTATTTAAACCATTCATTTGGTAATTTTTCCGTTCATATGATAAACATTTACAGTAAAATCTGGTTTTTAAAATTATAGTTCTTATTATCACGCATTTTGTAAACAATAAATAGCTGAAATGGAAATTTTACCGAATTAATTCTAAAGTATCATGATAAATTAATTTTTTAGTTAGAAACTCTTAATATAGTAATTTAAATATTTGAAATAAAAAGTGAAAAATAAATGAAACAAAACAAAACAAAATACAGTCGGACCTCGATTTAACGAATTCATCGGGACCGGAAATTTTATTCGTTAAATCGGGGTTCAAAAATTTTTTTTTCTTGTACATATGTATTATTAAAAATGACTAGTTATAAACGACTATCTAAGATAAGAAAGGAATTTCCTTTTTGACTCATAGTCCACGTGACAAACCCCCGGAAAATGGCCTTACAAGTGTAATGCTCACCTACACACGACGAATTGTGTTTTTCCCAGTTGCGGACTTTTCTTTTGTTTGAGACGAATATGCACTTTTTATTCTATTTTATTCCACCCAGGAAAGATTTTTTTCCCTTTAGAATCCGCCAATTACAAAAAAATGCAATATTTTTCTGATCAAAATTAATGAAAAATATTTTTTCCGGATGCTGAAATAATTCGTTAATTCGGGGTTAATTATTCGTTAATTAGGGATTTTTGATTCTGTTTTTGCTGGGGTTGAAAAAAAATTCGTTAAATCGCGAAATTCGTTAAATAGGGGTTCGTTAAATCGGGGTCCGACTGTATATATATAAACCGAACGAAACTGAACTAAAATGAATAAAATACGATCCTGCTGTTAGTTATACAGTGCTAAATTGTTTTTATGCCATGTTCTAAAGTATCACATTAAAATTACCAAATTTTACCACATTTACTTAATTTTGTCAAATATTACATAGCTGTATTTAAATGTTAATTTTACTAAAATCATTGCCAAAGCAATTCATTCAAAATTACCGAATATTTTGATATTTTCATAAAGCCAAACACATGGTAAATTTTACAATTTCATGATAGTTTAGTCCATGCTTTTTACTTCTCTTTGTAGATTGGCTATTATGACAGTTTTTAACTCTTTAAAATTGATTCGTTAGGTGCTACTCTCACATTGGAAGAACTGGTGGTGCCCAACCCCTTTCTCTAGGTCAAGGTTGCTTGTATGTTGGCACAGTTATTCACGAGTTCGGACACGCTATTGGATTCTATCACGAACAGAGCAGATCAGATAGAGATCAATACTTGATGATTTACCTCAATAATGTTCACCAAAGTAAGTAATTATTACAAAAATTCTTTATTTAATAATCTCTAGACTAATAATATAAAATGGAGTATGCATTTCAGTGGCCACTATTTGGTATTTAAGAAAGAGAAAAAAAAATTCCCTTATTGAAATTCTTAAAATCAAATCTTTCATTAAACTTGACAAAGTTTTTCATAATTGCCATTTAACTCCTCTCAGTTGCCTTCAGCAATCAAACAAGTTTTGATGCCTTCATTCACACCTTTCTTTGAGTATTAATTTGGTATTGATTCTTTGAAATTTGATAACTTTTTTTCCGTTTTCCTCATCAAAATTTTGAAACATTAATTTATTAATTTGCAAACAGTAGTGTTCATTCAAAAAGGATGTTTTATACTTATTTCGTGCTATGCTTGAGAAAAAAAATAAATAAAAATGCGAATAAAGCACAAATGAAAGTACAAAAATGAACATACTCTTGTTTCGGCTCTAGAACATTACTCAGAGTGTAAATACTAAATAATGGTAGAGAATTAAAGAAGCAAACACGTGTCAATTGGCTTGACAAACAGCGAAGGATGAACGAGTTTGAGCAAGATAATAAAAAGGGTGATAAGAAGGTGAAGGAGGTCGGCAGGGACTTGGTAGGAGCCCCAGGGTGAAACAGATTAAATTAGAATAGACTTCAAAATATTGAGAAACTACTACTAGAAGGACAATTAACTGCATTTTTAGAATTTTCAAAAATATAGAATGATCCTAAAAATCAAGTTTGATTGATGAAGAACGATGCTGAAAGATTTTACCAGAAGAAAATGCAAGTGCCCTTAGTTAAACCTCTTCGCTCGTCCTCATCTCTTTACTTCGCTCGCATCATTTGGTGTTTATACTCTTATGCAGAATCTCATTTTTTGAACAGAATTATCGTATATTCATTTATGTTCCTTAATTTGAGCTTTACTCACTGTTTTTTTCACAAAGATTCTAAAAATATATATTAGAGCCGGTGATCATGGAATAACTTGTATGAGTAATTAATAAATGAAACAATTTTAGACCATTTTAAGGTATTCTGTTAAACCTTAATTCATCAGCTGCAGAATTGTGGTAATGCATAGATAGAATTGTGATAATGCATATAAAAATTGAGCTTGTTTTATTAGATCATAATTTGATTGGACTTTTACAATTCAAGATAGTTATACTATAACTTTCAATTTGTTTAGGTATGCGTGGTCAATTCTTCAAGCTGTCTCCAAACCAGAATATCTTGTACAATGCTTTTGACTACAACTCCATTATGATCTATGGTAACAAATCTTTCTCCAGCAACGGACAAGATACCATGAGAGCCAAAAACGGACAGAAGTTGCTTGATCCATTCAACAAGAGAGGCATGACTAGAGCTGATATTGAGCGTGTGAGGAAAATGTACAACTGCCGTTAATTTAAAATTTGGTTTTAAAAGCAATAATCAATATGTATTTGCCGCTGTAAATGTTGTGTTTACGCTAAAAATAAAGTTTTGAAGTTTAAAATGTTTTTTTATGCTTCGGTCAAAATATTTTTTTCTTCATATTGTCCAACTTTTTTGCCACAAAATTTACTTTCTTGTTCGAACGAAAATAAGAAATAAACACTTGGAATGCAATACAAACTTCAAATAAAAGGATATTTGACATTTGGTCCCATTTTAGAAACTCGGACAAGCCAATTAGAACTACTTTTATTCCCAGATAGCATTATAAGGTTGATTTTAGAATCAGCAACAACCCTTAGCACTAAGCCCAACAAGGCTTAGAAGTGATTAGCAAATAAACCATGAAAACTTGAAACAATATTAAATTTAACTATGCTAACTTGCTCACTAAGAGGCTAGCATTAAGCTTGATTAAACAACCTTTTTAAATCGAATTTGAATCTGAATTTACAAAAATAAGGCTTGAAAAACGTTTTGAAATTGAGAATGAATTATTCATTCTTAAGTCAAGAGTGAAAAGCTTTTTGAAATCGATGATAAATTCACCTTCTTAAGGTTTATTTTATATTTTATGATTAGAATTGAAATAAGATTTATTTACGAAGGTATTGATATGGTTTCTTTAACACATTTAATGCAAAGGTTGGGCTGATCATTAGGATTTCAACATGATCAAAATATTGACTTTGAAAGTCTAAACAAAGCTAGAATGAGAAAAAATGTAGCAACAAAGTTTATTATATAAGCTGAAAATGAGATTTTTCTTGTCCAGATTTTTGCATGCCTTTAACCTATCTTTAAAGAAACACGTTTGGCATACTGATATATCTACTAAGCTTAAAAAAGGATGAATTAGATAATATTTTAGCTCCAACCAAATGAAAATGAAAATACAACATTTGCAGTGAAGTTGCCTACTATCTGGGATAGTAACGCTAAGCAATTAAATCTTAATTAATTATTACTTATTACATTTTGATCCGTATGAAGTGCTAAGTATAGGATTTGTGAAATCAAAAGGTAAAACTTTGTTTGTTTATTAGTAAAATCAAATTTTTTACGTTGTGGTTGATTTCTTGGTGTAGAAACGGTTTTCTTTGACTAAACAGGTCAGAAGGTTTTAATTCTAAAGTTGTTAAAAATGTTTTTTAGTACCGGAAATATAAACTTTACTAAGCGCAGAAATATATTTGGGTCATTTTTAAAATAAAGAGGCATTTAAGAACAGTTTTCTCAAAGATTCGAATTATCATTTGCAAAATATTCACATTAAATTTCAGCTCCAATTGGAATAATTATTGTCAATAAAACTTCAACAACAAAGTCCTCTTTAATTCGGAACATAAAATTAAAAAAAAAATGAAACCTCAGCAAATATCTGAATAATGTTCTCATTATTCTGTTACCAATGTTCAAAAGAATTTAAATATAAAATGCTACTTAAAAATTATGCAGCCTACATTCCAGTAAAATTTACACAGTGAACCACTTAAGCTGCTGTTTTCTGAATTTTGTAAGAAAATAAATACTAATAAATTTTTGGTAACAGATCAGTAAAAAAGGTATCAGAAGGGAAGTTATTAGTACAGTTAAACTCTAAATGTTCATGCACTGCAAATTAGTCAATTTACTTGAACGCCTTCAATTGAAAAGAAGAAATGTTTAAACAAAACAGAAAACGGGAATTTGATATTTACATAAAAAATCAAATGAACATTAAAAAAATAAAAATTATGTTAGTAGATGGTAAAAATGAAAATAAGCCATTTTACCTTGTCAAAGCTTTATTTTCTTTGAATATATATCGAATAAAATAAAAAAAAATTAAAATGACTACCTTATCTAAAAATAGACCACCCAGGTAGCCATGGGACCCATTTTTACCAATTCAACAAAAATGATTTAATACGATAACTAAGATTAAAGAGTTAGAGAAGTTTTAGTCATACATAAAATACTTGATATTTACTCAAAGGTAATGTTAAAGCTGTACTTTAGATATGTTTTGCAGTAAATTAGATACAACACAATTTTCACAACTAGATAAATTAAAATTATTTACAGTTAACAGTTGATTTAATTGCAGTAAAATAAGAAGCAAAAATAGCTGTATCTGATGTAATAAGAAAGTATTGCATCATCATAGTTGGCCAGACAGCCCAATGTGGGCCAATTGCTTCCTCTGAAGATTTCTCCAAAACGACTTAAGATTTATTTTTGATTACCTTCGTATTACTCAGATATTTTTTTTGAAATGCTAATTTCCATGTATTTACATTTACTAAAAATATAGCGTAATTTAATTAAATGCTTAAAAGTGGTATTTGGAATCTTATTTCATTTATTAAAATTACTTAAAATCATGGGACCTAAAATGTGCAACTTCTTTGAAAATGATCCGTTTGCATTTTCTGTATTAAATGGCTTTTGAAGCATTCTCAAGAATTTTTTGGTATCTCACAAGCATGAGATCATGTAAGAATGAAATATTTTCTGTTTAAATCTAACTTTTGAGAAAAAAGTTTTATTTTTCAGCTCTGCAATCACCACAATATGTTAATAGAAATGAGCAGAGTGGATTAGGGATCTGAGAGAGTGAAAGGTCTGGTGGTTAAATGACATTTCATTGAACTTGAGTAATCTAGTTTCAAATTTTGCACATTGATAGCATAAAATAAAGATAATGCCTTGCTTTTATTTCTTATACACAATCTTTACATCGAAGAAATCTTCAAATACTTAACACTCATTTAAGATGTTTGCGTTATAGATTTTTCACTCTTGGCATTTGAATTTTAATCCAATGGATAAATGCAATTTCATACTGCTACCAAAATGCACTATAATTCTGCTACTCCGAAAACACTTAAAAACTGTCACTTAATACCTTCATTCACTGAGATAGTGCAAGACTGAGTGCAAGACTTGAGAAGATAATTTTCTTCTAATTCACTCTTGGCATTTGAATTTTAATTCTAGGGATAAGTGCAACTTCATACTGCTACCAAATTGCACTATAATTTTGCTACTCCGAAAACACTCAAGAACTGTCGCTTAATAACTTCATTCACTGAGACATCCGAAAGTGCAAGACTTGAGAAGATAATTTAAGTTTTTTGTATACAGGGTTATTCATAAATATGGATTTAATTTAATTTAATTTGTAAGAAGTATAAGTTCTTCAACACACTAATGGAAGAAAGAGGCCATTTTTTCCCCACAAGTTATAAATGTTAAATGTGCCCCCTATTGCGGCATGGCAAAAATCTACTAAGTGGTGAGCAATTAAACCCACGCAAGAAAAGCATGCCTTGTTTTACGAAATGCACCTTAACGATCGGCTAGAGTTGTTGGTAAACATCTTCCTCAGCATAACTTTAAAATAGAAAGTTACATAGCATTAGATTAGGAGCTCTTACTCATAACTTACTATCTTCTCATAACTGGCAGTGAAACGAAATTACTGCCTATTTTCTTAAACTTTGCTTTCCCTTCTATTGGATTAAATTTCTATTAAAACTTTTAATCTTCATCTTTTCATTAGATGGTAGAATATTCATGTCTAATTTATATTTCGTTAAACACTAATTTTATTAATTGGGTTCATAATTTTAAGTAGACTCCGTGGTTTATTAAGACTAAAATGAGATACTTCTTTGATAATTCGCTTTTTGTTTCTTCAAGAACGTCTCATAAAACCTTCATCGACTGAACTCCTCAATTAACTTGTTGAAAACTAATATAACATTTTTCGTTGAAAATGTATCTCGAAACTATGGGAACAAAAATTTTCCAACTAAAATTTATAGAAATTGTTTTAAGCACATCAATGGAATGGTTATAGAATTGCTCTTATCTCAGAAAAGTAAGTAAAAAAATCGGAAGAATGGGATAAAAGAAAATAATTGTTTGTGAAAGAAAGCCTTAGAGATGTCATGGCTGAGAAAAAAAAAAGCTTTCTTCAGGGCTTAAAGGATTCTCCAGTTCTCCTCCGTCAGAAAAAAGTTCAACAAGTTAACTTCTGAAGAGGTATTGGCAAAAAACATTGGGAGTAGTTTTCTGTAAACAAGATAGGTAAAAAGAAACAAACTTTTAGTTAAGGCTATTTCTCAAAACATTTCTTTTTCGTAAATCTGTAATTATAGATAATAAAACCTAAAATGTGTATTGTAGCATATTTTGATCAGAATTAACTCTGTAGATTAAGAATTCAGAAAAAACTTAATGAAAATAATTGACATTTTTGAAAAAATTCACGAGAAATATAAATATATATATAGATATCATTTCAGTTAGGTTCAAATTCTGCTGATGACAGAAAAACTTTACGCCATGATCTTTTGTTGTTTTTATCCGGCATAATTTTTTTCGGTTAATAATAAATTTACAGTGAAAAATACAGATTTCCTATGTGCTGGTACTTTTCACCTAAGTATTTTTTGTATTTTTTATATTTACTAAATGACAATTGAATCATATGCTGTTATGTATACTGAATATATATAAATCTCCAAAATAAGTAACTACCCATGGAAATTAAGTGTCAAAGCAAAGCGCGTTGTTGTTGCTGTTTCTAATGCTACTTCTCTATATCAGCAAGCCTTCTTGGTGAAACCAAGAGAATTTAAAGTAGAGGGTCGATTTCTTGTTTTTCAGTGGAGCCATCTACGGTCAAGAATACGACTTTAGCCAAACACACGTCACAGCCGTGCATAGGACTGACCTATTCATTTATCCGCAGATCGTAATTTTGACCTGAACCAGAGAACGATGAATCTCCAATTCAATACCTCCGTAGGTATAATATGAAGCGTTATACTTAGTAAAACATTTGCATACGCCTTTTTACGTATATTTCATTCATTTTCTTAAGTTCGCAGCATGCTCTCAGAAAATTCATATTACCACTGAACCTTGATATGATATAAGAATGTAAACTTGCTGTAGGTGTAATAAAGTAATAAATTAAATCATTAAAGTTGAGTCAAAGCATCGTGAAAGTTCTAGAAAGATTAATTTCACGGTAATATAGTAACTGTATCGATTAATAACAGGACCAACTAATAATAATTGTTTGAATTAAAATAATTTATTAAATTAAATATTTAGTGAATCAAGCAAATTAATAAATATAGTGTGGAGCTAACATAGAATTTTGTGATCGATTTATGTTATTCTTTAACACACTTTATATGTTTTAACAATGTTATGAAATACTAAAGCAAGTAGAGTGTTTTTAAAAGAGTAGAGACATGTTGGGCGTTTGAAACGTTTCTGAATTTGTATGTTTATGAAAGTTTTACATGGCTATTAACGATAGGATGCCATTTGAATGGTAGACACTTAAATATAAAGCCAATTACTCAAAAATGACTTTTTGCACCATATAAATGCTTAATAGGAAAAAAATAGAACATATATAGGAAAAACCATTAATACCATTAGAATGTGTGACAGAGTTATATTTCATGCTACGTATTTAAGTTTAGAATTTAACTTGAGTTTATAAACTTTCTTTTAGATTTATAATTTATAACTCATTTTCAAGAAATGTAGATGTCAGTTATCAAAAGTTTATAAACTGTCAGCAGGGACATTGTGAGCTTTCTGCTGTCACCCTAAGTTGGAAAATGAGTAAGTCGTTACACTTTGTTTAAATTTTGAATTAGTTTTTGAGTAATTAGATAGTTTATTTTAAATATTTTTCCGAATTTTATGCATAGAGAGAAAATTAATTCGTCATAAAATTATCATTTTTGCTGCCACGCAATCTCACGAATAAGAAAAAATAACTTTTGCCATTTTTAAATATTTTGAATTTGCTTATAAATTATTAAATTTTAAAATTTTGCTGTTTTTTTTTATAAAAAACCCCGAAAGGGTACCAAAAAGTAAGCAATTTTTCCTTCTCTGGAACAGAATCAAAGCCAAATATAATCTTTTCATAGCAATTTTTTTGAAATATTTTAATTAGGTGACTCAATTTTAACATTTAAACTAATAACGAGATTTCTTTGATTATTTGTCTATTTTTACTACCGTCACATTTTCCATTCTTTCTTCGTGTGTGTCTGACTACCTTTCTTCCTTTCGCAAAGAATTAATTTTCAATTTGAATCTTTATGATTTGAATTTTCAAACATATATATCATATTAAAATCATTTCAAATTTTCTTTCAGGTTGGTAAAACTATCAAACTTATAACTAAAGAACCATGGTAATAAAACCATATTTTATTTTTACTTTCCACAAAAATCATAACCAAAGTGTAACGGTAAAAATTATCGTACTTTTTGGTGTTCCCATACAAGCAGAAAATATGGTAAATTTCAGCATATTCTGATAAATTTGATTTTTTTAGAAAAAAAGGGAAAATAATATGTTGTATAATGTTTGAAAGTGATAAAAACAATGTTTTCCCCATTAGGATATACTTTGAATGTTATGCAAAACTTCTTTATTTATGGGTATAAGAATGAAGTTTTTTTTAAAAATCAGTAATTACTTTTGATATCTTAAAAATCAGCTGATGTAATTTATTAAATTTTTTGGTAAGTCAAAACAATTTTTGCATTAAATACTTTTCATAATTTTATTTTGACCTATATAAAACACTTTTAATTTTATTACATTTTAATTTTTTTTTAGTAAAAGAGTATTTTTTAATAAAAAAATTAATAAAGCGTTTAAATAAAATGTAATAGTTGCTTTTTCTTAGTGATTATTTTTCTTCTTCTTTACAGTTATCAGATTTCTAACATGAAGAATGATCCGACAACAGCTGTTTGATGAGATTCTCATTGTATAGCCGATTTAGCTATTTCAAAATTAAATAAAGTTTTATTCCTTCAAAATTTGTTTTTAATAACAGAAGAAAATATTTAATAACTAGTTTGTATGCAGAGTATTTTTTTTAAAAAAATAAATAGTTTATAAACTTTTAGAATTTGAATTTTTTAGTTTGTTTTGAGATTGTATATTTCTGCAAATGAGAAATTCTGAGCTAATGAGATAAGTGGAGATACATTTATTTTACATATTTTTAAGAGTTTCAAAAATTGTAATAGAAATACATCCCGATAGACATTTTAAGACATTTTGAAATTGAACTAAATAATGTTGAGAGGGACAAAAAAAACGAATAAAATAATATTTACTATGAAGCTAAATCTTCATTGTTACAAAATCACTGTCTGTAATTATAGTAAAATAACAGTTTATTTTTTGAACTGTAAAAAACTTCGGATAAATTTCCGGTAACAAATATTGGAACCCTGAAAGCTGATACTTTTTACAGTAAAATCCATTTTATCAATAAAATTTTACAAAACGAAAAATCTTTTTATACCGAAATTCTTACAATAATAAATATATACGCCAAAACCACTAAACCACTGTAATTAGAAAATATTACTATAAAAATTACGGACTCGTTACGGATATACGGATTGTGCCCGTATTTAAATAATTCGTTAAATTTTAGTTATAGGAAACTTTAGTTTAGCTTTATATCAAGTTAAAATTTCCGCTTATTTAATATGTATCTATTTAATGCATTGTTGAGCCATTGTTTTTCATTTAAAGTTTTGTTTTTAAGAGTAAAACAGATTATTTTCAGGGATTCTATGGAAAAATAGCCTTGTTTTTATTTTAAATTTCAAAATGAGCTTTGTTCTAAGTGTGGTATTTATTTTCTGTTTTTAGAAACAATTGAAATTTGGAATTTTGAGTTCGAATGAAATTGACTATGGAAAGTTTTAAAGACCTCAAATATTTTTATATAATTAACAAATCTTTATTGTAATAAGTTATTAGAGAAATGATGTTATATAATTAATAAAGTCAGAAATGTAAATTAGTAACGACGTAGGAGAAGCATATTAAAAGCTTAGCTGATTTTGAAACTTAATAAATTAGCATTATTTTAAGCATTTTTTTTAAGCATTTCTTTTGATTTGCATAGCATTATTTTGAATTGCATAATTGTTAGCACTACAACGAAGACTCACTGGTTCCATCAAAATGTAATCAGTGTTAGGATTTTTTGGAGCTCTCTAGATTCTAAAAAAAAAGCTCAAAATTACATTGAATGTTGTTTACAATAACGTTACTGAATCTAAGTCTTCCCGGAACTTATGTTTTTATGATATTTACTTAAATGTTTTTTTCTCCATATTTTAAATTATATGATCTAGTTTTTGATTTCACCTTTGATATCAATTTCTTAATCTTTGACATATGGTTTCTGTCCCAACGGAAAATGATTTTTTTGCGATAAAAAAAGCATTTATAAGCAGAAATTTTCTTTAATAAAATATAGGAATATTTCCTAAAAAACAATCGCAAGTTGAATAATGAAATTTGCTGTTATTCTAACTGGCTTGTTAGCCATTGCTCTTGCTGACGTTCAGCTGAGCCCTGAGCAAGCTGAAGGCAAGTAATTATTTCCTTTTATTTCATTTTTTATGCATATAATTTGTCATAATTTGTTATATATGAAATTTATTTTTAAAATTTTCGTTTCATTGATTATTTGATGTAAAGATAGAAGTGGCTAATCGGAATAAGGCATCATTTTGAACTTCGTTTCTTTTTTTTGAAATTTTCTATCTTGCCTATGTATCCGATACTGAGGGTCCGATATCTAAAAATATCGGAACCACTTGACTACATGTAAAGGATGAAACTATTATTTTAAATAAAATATAGGGTTAATTCTAAAAATTAATAAAAAAATTAATTTGCCTCTTTCAATTTACCCAGATATACAGTAGACTGCGCTGTAAAAAACTTCGGATCAAATTTTAGTACTAGAACTTTGGGTGCATCTTTCGTAAAATTAATTTTTATCGTGAAATTTGTTTTTACCTTAAAATTCATTTGTAACGTTATTTTTACAGTAATATTGGTTTAATTACAGTAATTCAGTGATCTTACGGTAATTATTACTTTAAAATTTACGTTACGTCAGATTCTTTGTTCCTTAACATGTTCCAGTAAAAATGGATTTTACGCTAAAAAGCACTGGCAATCCAAGTGCCAATACTTTTTACCGTAATTTGATCTGACATTTTTTACAGTCTGACCTGGATTTAGCAGTACTTGGTATAGGAGAATCGTTAATAGTATTTGAATAACATTATAATATTATGATAGTTAGATGCAAGAACAATGCAATTAGTTTTCTGAAAAAGACATCGCGTATTTAGAAGCTACTGTATATGGTAAATTGCAATTGATCTAATCCCGAAAGCCATGATTTTAAAATGGAACCAATTGAAGCTTAAAAAACTTGTTATATCACATAAAAATATCGCAACAAGTTAAACGTGTTTGCTAGATATGAAAAATATATGGAAAAAATAAAATATACAGATTAAATTATAAAATTGAAAGAAATCACATTTTATCAAAAGTTGAAGAGAAATATAAACATATTCTTTCGTTCCATAAACGTCGCAGTGAAACTTTTTTTTTGCCACGGCCGTGTTTGTATTCGAGCTCAGGATTCACAAAAACGGATTCGATCACAAAAACGATCGTGATTATACCAAACCTCAAGATCATGGTAGAGAATAGAAGTTGAATGCTAAATTACTATTAACGAAGCAAACATTTTCTTTCCCTTAGTCCGTTATCACTAATTTTCCTTTAATGAAAATGATGTAAAACGACTTTTTAAATGAAATGAACAAAATTGAAACCATGAAATTATTAACCTAATAATCACATTAGGTTAATTTAATAATGGGAAAACTGTAAAAAATTAAAAATTCACAGGAAAACATTTCAGAGCATCTGAATGTCAAACATTAAATTTTCTAGGAGAATTTTCAACTTATCAACCAGTCAATCAGGTAATAATTTCTATTCAACTCTGATACTTAAAAAAACTCTTTATTCCTGGTAATCGGGTGCTTACATATTTAAAAAATGTCATTTAAATCGAAACACCTATAATAGAATAATCTTACACCAAATTCTCCCTCATTCAAATAAAACAAGAATTACTTTTACTTTCGATAACCCAGATTGTTAATGCGCTTGTCTTATCACCAGAAGTTGAGTTTGCAATTGAGAGTTTGTTGATATTTCTGAATAGTTCTGATTTGATTGAATGATTTATTGTTCGCCGTTGAAATGGATATGCATGTTTTTAGTTGTGTGATAAGGATAACTATATTTTATTTTTTAAATCTCTATGAACTGTTATTGTTCCTATAACAAATAAATACCTCTGGAGGTACTAAATTGGGGATTGACCGTTCTCTGGTTTAGGTCAAAATTACGATCTATGAATGAATGAATGCATAAATGGTTCCACCCTATAAACGGGCTGTAATGTATGTATGAATGAAGTCGTATTCATAGCCATAGATTACAGTCCTGAAAAACAAGAAGCGCGCCCTTTGCCTTAAAATTCACTTGATTTGACCAATCAGGGTTGCTGATAATGGTTAGTGGCATTAGAAATAACAGCAACAACAATATTATAAAGAAAATGTTCCCTATATAAATGTGTTTTCAATGCAGTATTTATAGTTTTTACAGTATTGATATTTTTAGGTGTATTTTTGTAACTTTTTTGTTTGTTTGTACAATTTTAGAAGCTCGATTAGCACTCCAAAATCCTGATTTATATGATGGTGATATGGCTGGAATCGATGGACCGTTTGTAAGTATTTATATAGAAAAATATATACATTGAATTTTCTATAGATATTTGTATCTATTTTTATAAACGGAATGAAAATGTTTCGCTAAAATATTTTTCTCACTTTATAGATATTTAATAACATGCCCTAAACCACTTTGAAAAATATTTTCAAACTTCATACAAGTTTTGAAGAGTTGATTTAGAAGACTAAAATCTTTAATTTTTAATTTAATAGCTTTGAAGAATCATTTTCAAATTCATAATTTTTCTATACTTTAGTGCAATTTCAAGAATTAAAATTTCGGGAATAAAAATTTTTGCCTTTAATTTTTAAAAAAAGTTGAAAATTTTTCTAACTTTGGAGAGCAATTTGAAATATTCCAATGCCACCAGATTAAAAAAAATTATTTTTTCAACTTAATTTATTAAAATATTGGGATAGGATCAATTAATTAATTGCTAATAAATAGTTTAATAAACGAAACATTTTTCTTCAGGACATTGCAAAAACTATTTTCTACTCGGATTTGAAAATAAAAAAGGATTTGATATCATGTGCAAAAAATATCAAGCAATCAGTAAAAATGTACAAAATAAATAAATAAAATATAAATGAAAGGTTTGCGCATTCTGCTGACAAATTTTAAAACTAGTCATAAATTTCATCAAAAAATTGCACTTCTGCTGGCTAAAACAATAATACTTACTGATGAAGCGAGATATTCTCTAATCTTTCTACCTACTGCATGTCAGAAATATCAGCGCAAATGTCTGCAAATTTTGTCCTCTGACTACATCACGCCTTTTTTTGTTTACAATTGCTGGTTATTTTGAAAACATTGTTTTATTGTTTTCCATGGCCTGCGCTCCATCTGTTGCTCTACTTTGCAACTTCTTTTGAAATGTAGTGATAAGAATTCAAGTTTCCTTCGCAAAATAGAATAAGCCGTGCATATTTTTTTTCTCCATTTTTTTAATGAATTTTTCAAATCACTTATGATTATTGAGGCATATTGGACTTAGTATTCATAAAACTTAAAAAGGAAAGATTTTAATAAAATTTATGCAAAATACATTTTGAAAAAACAGCTATTTCAAGTTTATGATAAACTTTGTCATTAGTTGCAAAAAGAGAAAGCGTGCTGAAATAGGTAAAATAAGTAAAATCATTAGTTTTATTTAACGGGATAGATTTTAAGATACTTTTATGAATGCAATTAAGTATTAAAGTCTCGAAAACAACGCAAAAAAGGACAAATAAAGTTACATAGACAGACTAGTTTTAGTTTCGAATCAACAGGGAATTATTTTCGTATTCCAAACATAGATAAAAGAAAAAAACACAGAGATGATGACGAAGGAAATTACAAACAAATTACAACCTTAAGTTATTATTTTACGTTATTTCCTTTTGCATTTTTCTATTTTCATTTTAAATTCTGAATTTCGACTTATAAAATGAGGTTTTTCATAGTAGTTTCATGGAAAGCATAGTAACATCTGCTTGTGTGATAATATTTGTGTTTTTACCCGTTGTTTCGTTTTATTCATGTAACATTACAAGATCAAATAATAAATCGAATCTACATCACAATACATCGAATTTACAGCATCGACATTAAAGCGTTAAATTATTAATATTATAAGCTTTAAATTATTGAATTACTGATATTATAAGCACTCTCACGAAGACTGGAACAGTATTGAATTAATTGATTTAGCAAATTTGGTGACATAGTCTTAACAGCCTGGAAAATCGGTCACTTTCAATTTATTAAGTTCTGTTTTATAGACCAAAAATATTACAATAATTTCCTAGATTTAATCCTTCTCCTTTGTATCTAATCCTCCTGATGTAGAGTTCTTTATTTGACTAGGACCTGAGCCCTGATCCAAAAAAAGAAAAAAGTCGGATATTAATATCCATGTTTCTAATCGATCTATAAACACCGGCCTAACTACTTGGCTAAAGCTGATAAAGCACAAGGCCTATTTATTAACCTAATGTTAATCTTTCTTTATTCGGATAGCAATGTTTTGATTTATATAGTGAAAAATATCTTGCTTCTCATTCTTTAATACTATTAAGTTCAGTAAAGAAAAAAAAACATTGCTTATTCAATATGATAGTCATAACTTTATTTAGCTTGCTGTTAAGATAATTTAATGTTTTTTTAAAACCATCGTTGAACAGCCGACCAATTTTGGGTTTACGACTACCAATGTTCAACTCCGTATCAAGGGGATTTCTGTATCAAGTATAGGGAGCAATTTGCCTTCGTAGAGGACTTTTTGATGAAGCTAACCCACATTTGCGTTACATAGAGAAGAAAACCACGAAAATCTCCCATGGTTATCCTGATGGCAAGGGGACTCTAACCGATGATCCATCTACCACTGAGGATGATTTAGGTCAGCACTGTGGTCGTTGTAAGCCTGGTGCGGAATTCGAATCGACCAGTCATAGCTGGTGTTTGAACACGGTTCACCTCATTGGAAGGCGAGAGCTCTATCTCCTTATCCACCACAGCTCATATTGTAATGATGTGAATTTTAACAAAAAAAATGTGTGCATATCTAATATGCAATTACATTAGTATTTCATTTTTCCAGGACGCTGAACGAAGTGCTATTGTTGGAACCCATTATAGATGGCCAAATGCACGTGTTCCTTACATCATTGACGCATCTTTAAGTAAGAAACTTGTTTTTAGAAATTTGTTTTGTAAAAATAATATAATATACGATGCACAGTAGTGAAATTCGGAAAAAGTTGGCCAAAACCAATACTTATTATTATACTAATACTTATAATACTTATTATTTTTTCACTTATAGGTAGTATATTCACTTATAATACTTATAAGTATTATAATACCAATACTTATAATACTTATTATTTTTTCAAAATTAGAAATATAAGGGTCTTAGATGACTTTGGCTATATAAGGTAAAAATTTAAATTTTTATAAAAGCAGCGTTTAAAAGCCAAAGATTGTCTAACTAATCCTGAACATTGCTTCAAAAAAGTTACATTTTATTGTTTTTCTCTATGTAACTGTTTTACAGATATTATCCGAAACTCTTTATAGTATTATGGCGTGCAAGAAAAAAGAAGAAAAAGAAAGTTAAAAAAAATAAATAAAAATAAAATAAAAAATAAAATAATATTATTTCTTGTGATGTTTTGAAGGAAATTATTATTTTAATAAGTTATTTTATTTTATCGAATATTTTATATACTTAATACATTCTATTAAATAAAATGTAAACAGAAATATATCACATTTTTTATTGATTTTAATCATTTTCTATAAATAAGAGTTATTTGAAATTCTATAATTCGTTAATTATAAATTTCTATAATTTGGTTTAATAATTATCAAAAACGATTTAAAGTTAAAAAATATTTAAAATGGGAACAGTGTGAAAAAATGACAAACCTTAAATAACTTTTAATCAAATGCTTGGATTTACTTTAATTCAAACTTAACTGTTCAAGGGGCATACCTTAACTATACTAAGCAAACTAGTGCATACATTTTAAGTTACAAAATAAAAGACAAAAAATTTATTTCAAAATGTTGTTATTTGTTTCAAATGTCAAATGGGGAGAGAGGATATCTCTCTCTATAAAGCATAGTTCTAATAATTTATTTAGAATAAAAAGGAATACTGTTGAAACTCAGTTCGTTTATTCTGTTTGCATACTTTGCCTTATTAGTAACAATTTACGTAAATCAATAATTGTTTGAATACAAGTACACAAATATATTTTTAAAAGCTTAAGATTTCAATATCTAAACAAAAATAGTTTTAAAAAATAAGTTTTGTTCTTTATTACAAAATCGCGTGACTTACGAATTATCAGATACATTAAATTAGCCGAGAAATTACTTATTTAATTTAGTTATTTTCTGTTTAAATATAAATGAAGACCATTATTTATAGTCGATGCCTGTGCTACAAAATCATATAATTGCTTCTAGAAAATGATACCATGTTTTACGTCAAAAAGCTATATAATTAATATATTTGTATAATATATTTGTTTTTACAGGAAATGCGCAGAATGTCATTAATCAAGGTATAAATGATTATCACAGAAATACCTGCGTCCGATTCGTTCCCAGATCTAACGAACAAAACTACATTAAGATCTTTGCTGGGCAAGGGTAAGTGTGTTTTTAATGTTCAACTACTGTCCAATTTAATGAACCTGTGTATAGTTTATTTATTAAGTATTTATGCAATTTTTAATATTGGTGAATTATTACGAAAATTCACGTTTTTCTCAATGTTTTATCGTAATAGGAATAGTCAAAATTAAATATTGCATTTTTGCATCAAGTTTTTGTAGAACAAAATAGTAAGGAACCGAAATTACATAAATAATGTTGTTAAATTAGTAAGCAAATGAAATTGAAAAAAGGAAAAAAAATGTTGAAATACCGTTATGAACGATTTATTCAGATATCATGAAATTTTATGTTTTGGAATCTATACGTGTTTGGTTTCACAGTAATTTTTTCATTAATTATTTAAAATACGAGTTAAAGAAGAATCAAAATAATTAAAAATAGTGATTAGTTCACTGGCAAAATGCAATTTTTATGCCAAAAAAGAAGAAATCTTATTCTTTTGACAAGAAAAAGAAGAAATCTTATTCTATTGACAAGAAATCTTATTCTTTTCCTTTCTAAAGGAACGATTGAAGATAATGGCTGATATTTTTAGCATTATTTGCTAATGAGCTAATACTAATATTAAAATGCTAAATACAAAGAGAAAAAAACTCAGGTAAAATTACCGTACTGTACAGTGATGACATTTCTGGTAAAAACAAACAAACATACTTCTGGTTAATAAAACTAAAATATGCGATATTTAAACCATTCATTTGATAATTTTTCTATTCATATGGTGACGTTTTTTCAGAACTTCTGGTTCTTAAAATTATAGTTCTTATTACTACACATTTAGTTTAAAAAAAATTGAGAAGTAAATTTAACCGAATAAATGACTTTTATGCAATTTTTTAGGGAATCATCATAAAATTATCAAATTTTACCACATTTATCAAATTTCATCGCACATCGTAAAACAATATTTTATTGCTTATTTAACCTAATTGCTTTTTGGTGTTCCTCTAGATCTAGAAACAGGGTAAATTTTCTCATATTTTTGTTGTTTTGACCAAATATTTCTTTCAGTGTAGATTGTTTTGCCACAAAAAATCAATTGATAGGGAAGCGCTTCTCGTATGTTCGCTAATAGAGCAACAATCAATGAAAATAATTTTAAATCAATTGTGATGGAACAATTAAGTGAAAATATTTACTATTTAGTGCAAAGCAAATGCATAAAAAATTCAGATTAGAGATATTAAAATAGTAAAGGACACAAGATTAGAAAGGGATAACGCATTGCTAAATTAACCAAGGGTACAACTGTAACCTTTGTTATTATGAATACAATTTAATGAGTAATAATGAGTGCCTTGTAATGATGAGTTGGATAATGAAGGATGAATATAAAAATTTTATAGTTTGCTTAAGTATGAAAATCAAATCAGGTGAGATGATGGTATTCATTCACAATGTGTAGATGGGTTGTAGATGAAAATGACCGACGTCGGCATGCGACCAGAATTAGATGATAAAAAGTTTATAAACTAAAATCAGTTGATGCATTTAAAAGATAAAAAAGACAGAATAACATAAAAGCGGGCAAAAAATTAATTAAGAAACGCGTTGAAAATAATTATAATTGTCTTCTTATAATATGAATAAAGGATAAGCTAAGTGAATTTATTACAAACATATTTTATGGCATACATCATTTAATAGTCCTCTTTTCTTTTACTAAAGTAAGTTTATGAACTATTTCTATTTTAAAAAATACTATTTTTTATTTGTTAAGGGTTCAAAAAATTTATCCAACTGAATGTCTATCTTTTCTTTTTAGATAAAGAAAGATGTTCGTTTAATTGAAAAAAAAAGTTTGGGAATAGTCATTCTGTTCGTCAAAATATTTTAATACACTTATCTTAAACAATAATTCATAGTTTGAATCAAAAATAAAATCTGTTAAAGTTTTAAATTTAACCTTAAGTGATCTTGTTTATTTAAATGAAATTTAAATAAAGCTGTTAATATTAAACTAAAATAATAATAAATAAAAATAAACATGATATTTCGTTATTTTCTTTTGATAACCTTGCACGGTATCAGAAAGAGGTTACATACTGTTGGTTAAACTTAAATTTGAAACATTTAAGATTGTATAGATTAAAATCATTGCATTTGGGCATATAAAACAATTAAACTTTATGTTTTTGAAAGTTGTCATTTTATTTGAATATTTTTTTTAAAATTATAATTTTAAACACAGGTGCTATTCTCATGTGGGAAAAACGAACGGTCAACAGCCAGTATCCTTAGGTCAAGGTTGCTTGTACGTGGGAACAGTCGTCCACGAGTTAGGACATGCCCTGGGATTTTATCACGAGCAAAGCAGATCAGATAGAGATAATTATCTGATTATTTATCTACAAAATGTTCACCAGAGTGAGTATTTAATTTAATTGTAAGAGATTTCCTATAATTTGAATGAAAATAATTAAATTATTTAAACAACTTTATTATTCCAAGAAATACAAAATGCATTAAAATTGAACTTCTTAATTAATTGCTGTTAATCTACTGATAGGCTTAACATTAATTGAATGCTGAACCACAAATGTGTCATAGTCATTTTAATAAATGTATGAAACAAGCTATAATTATTTATGATCAAGTATGACTAATCTAAAATTATGTTTATATATCTCTTATAATATAAGATTAAATGTATTGGTTTATAGCACTATCAACTACACCGAAGAGCCATTACATTATGACCGTCCTGCTAATAACATGTAGGACTACATTTAGCCCTCAAGACAGCTAGCACCCGCCGTGGAATTGATTCCACAAGGTGCTGATAGGTAGTCTGTGGTATCTGGTACCAAGCGCTCACCAATGGTCCTGTAATTCCCTCACATTGCGAGGGGGTAGCGTGGCAGCACGAATTTGGTTTTTCAAGTAGGACCACAAATGCTCTATTGGATTAAGGTCAAGTGAATTTGGGGGCCAAGGCATGACTTGAAAAATCACTGGAATGTTCCTCGAACCATGACGATTCGATCCTTATGACATGGTGCATTATCCTGTTGGAAAATACCATCCCTCGCAGGAAAAACTGTTGCCATGAATGGGTGAACCTGGTCTGCAACTATGTTCAAGTAGCTTACAGACGTCAGGGATTGTTCTATGAGGATTATGGATCTTAATGTGTCCCATGAAAACATTGTTCCTGGGCGAGAAGAAACCATGAAAATCTGGGCGACCTCATTGTTATAGATGGAGGGTGGTCATAATGTAATGACTCTTCGGTGTAATACAATGTGCGCCAATATCTTAGGATACTGCATATTCAAGTTAACAAAAGTAAACACTATTAGAAGTCATATGAGACGCAATACTCAGAAGAACTAACATATTATAGTATTCGGAATCAAAGGTAATATATAAATCAAAAACTTACCTTAATTTAACTGTGCTAAATGTTACTGAACTGAAGTCAACGATTTTGAAGTTAAGGAAAAAAATTACCCAAATAAATGAAGAAAGTGGAATAATGTTAAGAGCTGATTATAGATAATTTTTATTATTTAATCACAAAATTGGTTTATCACGTCTCCGATTGCATTAGATTGAATGTTTATTACTATTTTGACTGCTTACAAAACTCTTAGGAAACTGCATACTCAAGCTAAGAAATATACACAGTGCTAGAAGATATATATGTGCTACGGTGAATGACCGAAATCGGTGGTTGTTGACTTTCAACGGTGAATGTTGAAAATCACATAGTCGCTTTGGTGAAAGTCCGAAATATTTGTTATATTCAATTTGATATGAATTTATTCGCGGATATAATTACATTTATTCGATATTTCAATACTTACTGACGATAGATCAGAAGAAACATCAGTGTTTGGAGTATCGGGCCATACATTTACATTTCACCGATTATACATTTGCTCGGTATACCCTACAGTGATGTTTTTTTAAGGTGCAGGGACACTGCCCGGTATACCCTACACTGATTTTTTTTAAGGTGAAGTGCCACTGCCCGGTATATCCTACACTGATGTTTTTTTCAGGTTAAGTGCCACTGCCCGGTATACATTTGTCCGGTATACGATGCACTGATATTTTTTAAGGTTAAGTGCCACTGCCCGGTATACATTTGCCCGGTATACCCTACACTGATGTTTTTTTAAGGTTAAGTGCCACTGCCTGGCATACATTTGCCTGGTATACCCTACACTGATGTTTTCTTAAGGTCAAGTGCCATCGCCCGGTATATATTTGCCCGATACTCAAAACACTGATGTTTCTTCTGATCTATCGTCAGTAAGTATTAAAATATCAAATAAATATAATAATATCAACGAATAAATTAATATAAAATTGGATATAACAAATATTTCGGACATTTACCAAAGCGACTATGTGATTGTTGACATTCACCAGTGAGAGTCGACATTCTCCTGATTTGGGTCATTCACCGTTACATATATCGTACAAAACTAAAAAGAATTAACATAATGTAGTATGTACAAGGGAATAGAAATAATTGATTATGAAAAAACATACCATCCGTTCTCTGTACTAGATATTTATGAACTGGAATTGAAGGTAATGTATTGAACATTTATTTGAGCTGATGTTTAATTTTTTATACAGTATTGACGAACATTGACAAGTACGTAGGTCAACAAGTGTGGTATAGAAATGTTAGCTCTAAGTTTGTGATATTTATTGTCTGGCATGGATAAGAGACTGCCAAAAGACTGCCATGGATAATTTTTTTTCTCCAAATAAAGTCTTAATTATTCCAACATTTACGCATTTATACAAACTCTTTGATGTCCATTCCATTCACCTCAACTATTGAGGGCACAATTTACGGCTTCTCAAGATAACAGAAAACAACAACAAAAACGGTTTTGGTCAAGGTTTTTATTGCTTTGAGTACTTCTGGATAGTAACCGTATAATTTTTCTTTTAGACATGCAGTTTAACTTCAACAAGCTCGCTCCCAGCCAAAATATCTTGTATAATGCTTTTGACTATAACTCAATTATGATTTACGGCAACAAATCATTCTCCAAGAATGGCCAAGACACTATGGTTGCCAAAAATGGACAGAGACTATCCGATCCTTACAATAAGCAAGGAATGACCAGAGCTGACATAGAAAGAGTCAATAAAATGTACAATTGTTAAAATATGAATTTAATAAAGTACACAAACATTTAATTTTGTTTAATTTTTGCCTTCATTTTAGTCCTCTATATTTTAATTAAATTTAATTTGTTTAGCAATTTTATTACTGATGAGTTTTAATAGTTTCAGAATTTTTTTTTGTGAAAATTGGAAATTTAACATAAATTGTGGCGTTCTACATGCAGGTGTGACTAATGCATATGATAATATTAATAAATGATAATAATAATAATAAATGATAATAATAATAATAATAATAATAATAAATAAATAAAGTTATACAATTGCAAAAGAACTATAATAAAAGATAAATACACAAATTGATTTCAACAAAATTGCTTATTTGTTTTTATATCTAACATTCTAAAGTGATTATTTGAAAATTATAATGTTTCTTTTTTTCTATCCAAAGTATTTTAATATTTAAAATATCACTTAATAAAAAATAAAACTACTAAATAAAATATCACTTTTTACTAATAAAATGTTCACGCTCTCATTTTATTAAAAACCAAAATGAAAAAGACTAAAAACCAACCAAAAACTGAAATGGGAACTATGTTAGATCCAGATGAGGAAAAAATATACTTTGTGCTACGTATGAATGAAGCAATGTAAATAAAGCTCGAATGAATATGCAGAAATGGACACACTATAATTTTGCATCTATAAAATAAAAAAAAAAGCGTTTGCCAGTGTCTAAATTCAAAATGAAAGTTGAAAATAAAGTAAACAAAATGGTTTGATTAATAAGGGAAGAGGAAACAGCTTGAACAAAGTGAGTGGATTTGGCGGTAATCTTAGAAATCAAAATATGGAAATTAAATTAGAACAGATTTCCAAAGATTGGGAAACATGAGAAACTATTAAATCCATTATGTATATATTATTATTATATTATTATTATTATATATATATATTACTTTTATATGCTGTTTAATCTATTATCAGCACTATAGCGTTTAACATTTACAATATAGTATTATTATATAATGTTAAAATCCTTGAAATAGTCCTAGTCCTAGTGTTTTGATTTTGTTGGGAACCTGGGTCGCGAAGCGACTCTTATCTATTCTTGAAATAATGCGGTTACTAATTATTAAGGTATAAAATTTCTTAATTTTAAAGTGGTGACTGTTTCTGGTGCCTCAGTGAAGACATTGGAGTGCAAAGGGTTGTCACTCAAATCTGGAGAAAAAAAATTTCTTGAGTTTTCCCTGTTCATATTATACACAATATATTAAGAGGAAACAACAATTACTGTGCTCTTGTGTCAGCTATATTAGTCTAGCTATACTGGTTTTAATTGCTGGAAAAACTTAAAGAAATAAGGAAGAGCTTAACATACTAAAAACAAATAATGCTAAAGTAAATAAAATAGTTTAGTNTTATGGATATCTTGTACTTGTATTAAAATAAAATATCATTCCCTCACTATTAGTGTCATTCCCTCACTTTTTAAATAGAGCATTGCGACATTTATGTATTTATACATAGTCTTTTATGTCCGTTCCATTCATCTCAACTATTGAGGACACATTTTGCGGCTTCTCAAGAAAACAAAAAACAACAACAAAAACTGTTTTGGTCAACGTTTTTCTTGTTTTGGTCTCATACTACACTGAAACTAGTATGGATTGTGTGACCTCTTGAGGCGGTTTGAAAGTGCTGTAAAGGACTAATAATGGTAGAAAACAGCTGTTGAAAGCCATCCAATATTTTTTAGCATGTTTTGTTCGCATGGTAGGTAATAACATGCGAACAAAACATGCTTAAAAATAAAAACCTAGAGTAAATACATTTTATAATAAAGTAAATGTATTTTAAATAAAGTAAATATATTTTATTCTGCCTAGTTTAAAAATACACAACAGGGGATTTATAATTTTATTAGGATGCCCAACTTCTAGTAGAAGGTTTTTCAAGAAACTAAACCTTTCCTTTCAAGTAAAGAAGTAATATCAGATGAGGATGACGTTACCAGTAATAGGCATTAATGAGATTCAGTTAATTAAATTACTTTTTTCTTGCTTTTTTAAACATATTTTCCTAGCTATCAGGTAGTATTAGACATTTATTTCCAATTTTTTTTCTAAAAAATACCAAACAAATACGCTATTTAGTGGATAACGAAGAATAATACTTAAATCTTGAAAAACATCCTGCTTTTACAACATGTAAAAGATTAGATATACACATTCCTATAGAAATAAATTCTCTTAGTTATAGTTTTTCTGTTTCAGTTGGAATTATTGCTTTGAGTACTTCTGGATTGTAACTCTATAATTTTTCTTTCAGACATGCAGTTTAACTTCAACAAGCTCGCTCCCAGCCAAAACATCTTGTACAATGCTTTTGACTACAACTCAATTATGATTTACGGCAACAAATCCTTCTCCAAGAATGGCCAAGACACTATGGTGGCCAAAAATGGACAGAGACTATCCGATCCTTACAATAAGCAAGGAATGACCAGGGCTGACATCGAAAGAGTCAATAAAATGTACAACTGTTAAAAGTTGATTTTAATAAAGTTTACAAACATTTAATTTTGTTTCATTTTTGCCTTCATTTTAGACCTCTGTATTTCAATTTAATTTTATTTATTTTAGCGCAACTTTATTATTGATGATTTTTAATAGCTTTAGATTTATTTTATTTTGAAAATTGGAAATTTTAGATAAATTGTGGCGTTTTACATGTGACTAATGCATATGATATTCGAGGTAAGCAGTGTTATTTGTGGCAAGCAAAATGCTCATCGTGACAAGCAAAATAACTAAATAAATCTTTACAAACGAAAGTTATACAATTGCAAAAGAACTATAATAAAAAATAAATGCACAAATTGATTTTTACAAAATTGCTTATTTGTTTTCAGATCTAACTTTCTAAAGTGATGATTTGAAAATTATAATGTTTTTTTTCTATCCAAAGTATTTTAATACTTAAAATATCACTTAATAAAAAATAAAACTGCTAAATAAAATATCACTTTTTACTAATAAAATGTTCACGCTCTCATTTTATTAAAAACCAAAATGAAAAAGACTAAAAACCAACCAAAAACTGAAATGGGAACTATGTTAGATCCAGATGAGGAAAAAATATACTTTGTGCTACGTATGAATGAAGCAATGTAAATAAAGCTCGAATGAATATGCAGAAATGGACACACTATAATTTTGCATCTATAAAATAAAAAAAAAAGCGTTTGCCAGTGTCTAAATTCAAAATGAAAGTTGAAAATAAAGTAAACAAAATGGTTTGATTAATAAGGGAAGAGGAAACAGCTTGAACAAAGTGAGTGGATTTGGCGGTAATCTTAGAAATCAAAATATGGAAATTAAATTAGAACAGATTTCCAAAGATTGGGAAACATGAGAAACTATTAAATCCATTATGTATATATTATTATTATATTATTATTATTATATATATATATTATTATTATATTATTATTATTATATTATTATTATTACATTATTATTATTATTACCAACAATATTATTTATATTATTGCTAAAAATAACACTAAAAAAATATTTGAAAATCATTCTTATTTTAATCGGAATATTAAATAACTTTATTGTTTTTATTATTATTATTGTTATTATGAAAAATAATCTCAAAGCAGTGTTTGGAAACTTTACTTTTTTTTAATGAAGTATTAAATGCCTTTTATACCTTTTATTACTATTCCCATTATTAAAAATAATCATTGAGCATTATTTGAAATGTTATTTTAATTTAATAGAATATTAAATGATTTAATTATTATTATCATTAAAAAATAATCTTATAACAGTATTTAAAAACTTTTCTTTTTTTAATAGGATGTTAAATACCTTTTTTTCCTTATTATAACAAGCCTACTTATAAAAAATAATCATTAAGCATTATTTTATAACCTTTCTTATTTCAAAAGGATATTAAATGTAATTATTATTATTATTCAAGTTAATCTCAAAACAGTATTTAAAAACTTTTCTTTTTTTAATGGGGAATTAAATGCCTTTTCTTCTTTTTATTACTGTTCCCATTATTAAAGATAATCATTCAGCCTTATTTAAAAGCTTATTTTATTTTAATGGACTATTTTTAAAACTTATTTTATTAAATAACATTATTATTATTGAAAATAATCATAAAACAGTATTTGAAAACTTTTATTTTTTTAATAGGATATTGATTGGTTTTTTTTTCTTCTTATTCTTACTATTCTCATTATTAAAAATAATCATTGAGCATTATTTGAGAACCCATTTTAATAGGATATTAAAAGTTTCGTATAGCAAGAAAGCTGCATGGAAGGAGTCACACAGTCAGCAAGGGGATGGAGAGGATGGAGTAGGGGGGGGGAATACTTCTCGTAAATCAGGAGGGGGTAGTCTTCCGCCGCATCTTCTACTCACTGATGCATATCCGAGCAGGGGGTCACCACTACTTTTTGAACTTTTTATATTTTCATTTGTGGGGTGCCTAGTTGATAACATTCATATTTCTCCTTATCCATCTGAAATCTTTAGGGGCAAATATGTTGAGCCAAGTGTATTATGGCCCGACAAGGATTACGATTTTTTTTGTCCCGTCTTTCATGGCTCAAAAGTTTTGGAGTGATACTTCAGACCTACCCCACGCCGGGGTTTTGTGTCCATTGCATATTTCAAGAGTTCTTGTTCTTTTCTGTTCTTTATTTCATTTATGTGAGAGAGTTTTTGGGTATCAAAAGATGTTATTCTAGTTCTCCGGAAATTAGTGTTTTGAATTGAAGGAATATTGAGATGGAGGGCTACTGGTTCGACGCCCGTGGAGTTTGTCATGCTGAGTTGAAATGATGCCCGGTATGGTTATTGCCCGTCTGGATTTTAGAAAATTCTAAGAGTTTTCCGAAAACTTTTTTGAACTATTCAAATGAAGAAAAAAAAGCTTTTAAGACCATGTTACGCCAAAATCGAAGCAATATCGTACAGGTGTTGGAAATTCATTTTCTTATATTTGTTTATTCTTTTTTATTTTTTAAGTTTTATGAT